TTCATCGTGGAACACAGTGTGGTGGGCACACCAGAGATGAACAGCTTCGGTGAACGATCTGGGGGGGTGATAATTGCGAGGGCACGAGCCTTACTGTTGGAAGCAGGCTTGCCGAAGGCTCTCTGGCCAGAAGCTGTTAAAGCAGCTGTATATATCATCAACAGATCGCCCACTAAGCTTCCAAACGGTCAGTGGATTATTCCGTACGCTGAGGCAACAGGAATCGATCACATGCAGCCAAAACAACGCATCAACCTCTCAAATCTGCGGTTATACGGATGCCGCGCTTACGTGCGCCGCCAAGATATTCCAAAGAGCCACAAGATGGAGCCGCGCGCGGATATCGGATATCTAGTAGGCTACACAGCCTCGAACATCTGGCGAGTGTGGTTTCCGCACAGAGGAGCCGTGCGAGAAGTCAGGGACGTAGTATTCGACGAGAATCTACGATACGACCCCAAAGAACTAGTAAAGCCACCCATTAGCGACGTAATCGAAGCTATGCCATGGGAAATCGGTGAAGATGAGCATGAGGACATCGAGCAGCTCACACAGCGTGTCAGCCAGCCAGAAACAAACGAGCCAGCTAGTGAAAGCACTCAGCAGTCACCAGAAGCTATACCGGACGTTCAACGCCAAGAAAATGCCTTTGAACCACCGAAATCACCAGGCCAACCTCAGCAGACGGTCACGCCGTCTCTAACACCCTCGGCAGAGCCACAGCTTCTGCCGGCGCCTCAGGCGCAGCAACCATCTCAAGGAGCATTTCCCGGGGATCGAGGGCCCGCACAACATGAGACAGCACGTCCAAGAGCACCAAGAGATATTGTGGGAGATGTATCGGACCAAAACATCGTCTCTGGAGCACGGAAGAGGAAACCAGTGGACCAGGCATTTACCGCCGCGCTAGAAGAGCCAGAGGACTATCATGAAGGTGTGTTAGCAGCGTTCGCAACAGGACTAAACGCTCCTCACCTTCATAACCTCGTGCACCGCGATGATCTGCCTTCAGAGCCTCAGAACTGGAAGGAAATGATCAATCATCAATATCACAAGGGATTTCTTGCGGCTGCAGGCCTTGAAATTGACACACTCACTCGTAAAAACACCTTCGAGGTAGTACAGCGTCCAACGGACCGCAGTATTCAGATCCTACCTCTCAAATGGGTCTTCACCTACAAGTTTGATAGCAATGGGTTCCTGAGCAAGCTGAAAGCGAGACTATGCGTGCGAGGAGATCTCCAGCGGATGACGGCAGAAGAAAAGTACTCAGCGACTCTCGCAGCGCGAACCGCGCGTGCTGTATTCGCCCTAGTTGCTGCATTCGATCTGGACACATATCAATATGATGCTGTCAACGCATTCCTCAATAGCCTACTAGATGAGGTTGTATACGTCTCATTACCACCAGGGTTTGAGAAAGATGGTAAGGCCAAGTGCTGGAAGCTTCTTAGAGCTCTATACGGCCTACGAAAATCTCCACGCCTATGGCAACGAGAAGCGTCTAAGATCTTCACATCTCTAGGCTTGCAGGTAGTGCAGGAAGATATTTGCCTCTTCGCAGCGGACGGCATCATGGTGTTCTTCTATGTTGACGATATCATCATTGTAAATCATTCTTCAAAGCATGCAGCAGCCAAACATCTGAGAGAAGAGCTCAACAGACACTGGGAGCTTCGAGATATGGGAGAGGCGCAGTGGTTCCTCGGGATACGCATTATCCGTGACAGACAACAGATGGCCCTATGGCTCTGTCAGGATTCATATATATCCTCGATGGCTCACCGTTACCATCTTACTGGATCTCGCAGATATGATACACCACTCCCTAGTACCCCACTCAAGCCATTTGACGGCCAGGCGACGCCTCAACAGATTCACGAGTACCAGGAGAAGGTTGGCTCAGCTCAATATGCAACGACGATCACTAGACCGGACTCAGCGAAAGCGACGGCTACACTGGCTCAATTCCTCACAAATCCCGGTCCTCAGCACCTTGATGCAATCAATAGAGTCATCTCGTACCTTGACAGCACTCGGACATCGGCGATCGCGTACAGAGCGCGTGATCGATCACAGAAAAATTGTCAGATACCGGAGGCCGTTCAGTTCTTTAGTGACGCCTCATTCGCTGATAATCCCGATCGAAAAAGCTCTGAAGGATACACATGTATGATGTTTGGAGGACCTGTCGATTGGAAAGCTGGCAAGCAGCGTACGGTGACTACCAGTACAACCGAAGCTGAGCTCCTTGCGGTTTCAGAAGCTGCCAGGACCGTGGCCATGTGGAAACGGCTATTCAAAGCAATACGCTTTGATCCTGAGCATGAGCTAAACATCAAATGCGACAATCAGCAGACTATCGGGATCCTCGAAAAAGAAACACCTCAACTGCGCACGAAGCTCCGTCATGTTGACATACACCAGCACTGGCTCCGGCAGGAGGTTCAGAGCAAGCGCATCACCGTACACTGGGTGAAAACCGCCGATATGGTAGCTGATGGTCTCACAAAGCTACTACCCCGCCAAAAGCATCTCGAATTCATGCAATCGATGGGTATGGAAAATATACGGCAACATCTGGTGGTGGGCGAGGTCTAACGCACACATCTGCAAGAGCAGAAAGGGCACTCGCTGAGGGGGTGTGTCGAACTGAGGGGTGGTATTTTACCACTAAGAACAGGGATATTCATCAAGTACCCATTCTGTCTCTGTCTCTGTATGGTAAACGGGGTACGCTCGGCATACCAGCGTCGTAACACGCTAGGAACGACTCCTGAGATCTGTTAACGCTTCAACAGCAAGATCCAGATAGAACAACATCAATGCATCTCAATGGGACACCTCAATACTAGCACATACCAGTATCTGTCAATCCGACATATTTCACTACCGAGCTGGACACACCACCGAGCTGGACACCCCAAAACACCATAGTAAATGAGATAAATTACAACTTGATATCTCAGCAAGCACGTTGTTGTTTGATTTCTTCGTTATTCGATAGCTATCGATAAGGATTTTAAACACTATATATTAGTTTTAAGAAAATCGAAAAGCTGCATCATCATGGTATTGAAAATTACGTTGCTGAAAGGCAGAAATATATATATCTCAAATCACAAAGTCGTATATATTTTCTAAAGTCCTTGAAGAGGCCATATATCACCTAGAAAGTATTAAGCTATTAGGAAAGTTCCATATAGAAAACCTTTGTTGAGATTTTAAGTTGTAATTTATCGCATTTACTATGGTGTTTTAGGGTGTCCAGCTCGGTGGTATGTCCAGCTCGGTAGTGAAATACGTTATCAGATATGCGTGTCCCATGACCGTTCATTGTTGTTACGACTGTTTATTACTAGCGTCCGCCGTCGATCCCGATGAACGCCGTGATGATTGCTTGATTGTGTCCAATAGACACTCGAACCAAGAGACAAAGGGATTTGGGTACTGTAAAGAAAAATTTTGTCGAAGGCTCAAAGACCAACTATTGCCCCGCAACAAATAAAGAGCCTCAAAAAAGTCAACTATATCTACGTTTAAATGAGAACATTAGGAAGTCGATTGGTTCGGTGCAATCTAAATGTTTAGAACCTAATCAATTGACCTGTCACCTCACAACAAATAAACACCTGCATGTCAAGAACACTACATGCGTCTGTTGATCTGAAAAAGACTCTATAACTACAAAACAAACAACCGCACAGCAGATAAGTGCTGTTTAAGTCTCTCAAGCAGGAATTAACGGCACGGGAGATGAACGGTCCAGAGACCGAGTCCGTTGTTCTTCTCCACCAAATAAACCAAATCGGCAGTAGATGTTTCCCTCACATCCTTTCATGAGCAGCGTCAAGCTGGGACTCTCAAACGGGATCCGGTTATTTACCCCTCCGATACTGTTTATTGGGGGTGTAGCTCCCGAGCTCAAGGGTCACAAAGGTGTATCCCCACCTCGTTTATTCGGCCCACTCATCAGAATTGCCCGTTTACGCAAAACCAGGTCCGGACCGCTTGGTCAATCTGGCGAAGTCTATCACAGGGCCGCGAAGGGGCTCTATCCCACTGACCAGTGATTACTGCCATCTGCGTCTTATCCCTCAACTATTTTAAACCCGCAAATACAAGGACCTTCTCAGCCTCTGTGTTCTCCAAATAACTTATGATAGCAATGATGGCAGACTCCACGCCAAATGTTGGGCTGCATGCTTCCAACGATGTTCTTGGAAATTCTATCGACCCAGCCTATGCGGTGAGCACTTAAACAATTGCTGGTCCTGAACCGAAAGCAAGATCGGAGTCCCCCATGACAAGGCGATACAAGAAAATGTTCAATATCATACATGCCAACGTTTTAATTTGTCAGTCGCTTGTAACTTAAATGGCCAGTCGAGCCAATGATATTGATGATCGTAGGAAGTGTAGGAAGTGTACTTCGAGTAGGGATAGTCTGACCAGCGAGCACACTGTTGGATTATGAGCTATTAAGAACCCTAAACACGACCTCAACCACCCTCATCAATGAGCAAGACAAGCTACCTCTCCGTTGCTTAATCTTAGCAACTTATCCCTGAAACACCACTCCGCCTTTTGGCAAGGACGCAAATTTACATTTTGCCGGTGTTTGCTCTCTTTTGTCGCTGCGTGTTCATTGCCACATCACGCGGTGACTCGATTCCGCCAGTAATTACCAGAGACCACGTAATCCATAAACAAGGTGGATGAACAAAGAGTGCCAGGGAATAACCATCGCGCCATAACTGGATGTTGGGATAAACATCTTTGCAGAAAAGATGATATTGGATTTCAACGGCTCTTACAACACTGAGATCACCAACGACCATCTCTATCATCCCAAGCACTAGACGTTATCTGTTAGAATCAAAGCCATTATGTTCAAATCAACCTGTTGGCGCGCTCGTATATAGGGCTCTTGTTCTCTCAGAGATCGATGCTGCGAGCTCTCTAACATCCCCCTAAGGCTTTGCAAACTCTGCCTCACCATGGGTATCCAACGCAGCGGTCAGACATCTCAGGTCGGTTTCTTCGACACCGCGGATCAACTGGTTCAGGAATATGGACAGCTCCAGTTTCTCGACGACCTGATCCGTTTGCGAGCGGCCGACCTTGTCCAACACCCAATTCTTGCCTATCCCCGATCAGCGAGCCATGCCGCGTCCTATGACTACTATAGCGGTCAAGACTTGAATACCATGATCAACCAAGCGGCGACGATGCTTATGGACTTTGGCTTTCAGACGGTAGGTCTGCCGATGCCGTCCGACCTCACACATTCTGACAGCTCTTCTCAGCCAAGGCGAAACAAATCGATTGTCGCGCTCCTTGCCTTCTCAGATCGTAACATGGTCGTGGCATTCTTTACCCTGAGCCGACTGGGCTACATTGTTCTCATGCTTTCGCCAAGATTGTCGGGCAAGGCGTGTGTGTCCTTGTTAGAGACGGTGGGGTGCGAGTCCATTGTTTACGGGGAAACCCCCAGCATCCGCTCGACGGTGGGTAACATTGTGCAACTGAAGCTGGTGAGCTGCCACGCACTGCCCCGAAGCTCTTTGGAAACCAAAGCTGAGCCCAGGTTCTTCTTCCTTTGCCGCGATCGTGACCCCGACAAGACCGCCGTGATCCTGCATTCTTCAGGATCCACTGGCACCCCAAACCGCTGTTCCTTACCCATCGAGCGCTCATGACACACCCTCTGAAAGGACCTGGACTCACATCGTTCAATCCTCTTCCCTGGTGTCATCTGCACGGACTGTCCACCGCACTCCAGGCCATGTGGAGGAGAAAGACCGTGTACCTGTGGAATGCCGCACTGCCAATGACAGCGGAGCTCGTGCTCACCGCCTTGGAAGAAGCTCGGCCCGAGCTGATAGCTGCAGTTCCGTACATGCTGCAGCTGTTGGCGGATGATCCTCGTGGCATTGCGGCGCTGCGGAAATGCACACTCGTCACATACGGGGGCGCTCCCTGCCCCGATGAATTGGGCGATCGCCTGGTCAGAGAAGGTGTCACTTTTGGTGGATCATTCGGCCTGTAAGTTCTTTTCCTTTTGCGTTTGATCTTCCGTGCTGATATCCGCGCCAGCACCGAGGCAGGCCTTGTGGCAGATTCGATCTCACGGTCCGAAGACGACCCCGGTTGGAACTACCTGCAGTTCTTTGACCGCGCACGACCATATATTTGGATGAAACCCATCAGCGAAACTGAACCTCTCTATGAATGCGTTTACCTGGCCGGTCATCCGGCTTTGACCATGTCCAATTCAGACGATCCACCCGGATCTTTCCATTCTAAGGACGTATTCGCCCCTCACCCTACGATTCCAGGGCGCTGGAAGTACATGTCGAGACTGGATGACCGCGTCACCCTCGTCAATGGCAAAAAAGTCTTGCCACTTTCTATGGAAGGCCATGTCAAGCAACATCCACTGGTCCACGAAGCGGTGATGGTGGGAGTGGGCAAAGCCACTCCGGGACTTCTGGTCTTGCGCTCGGAGGAAGCCGAGCCTGATCCTCTGCCGGATCAGGACTACCTCGATGCTATCTGGACGTCTATTGAAGAGGCTAATTGCCAGGCAGAGGCCTTTGCTCAGATTTCACGCGACATGGTGGCGATTCTGCCATACACTGCAAAGTTCCCCCGAACAGACAAAGGCTCTGTGATACGACCACAGGTCTACCAGCAGTATGCGGAGTCGATCGAGACCCTGTACACCACGGAAGCGCGACCCAATGGGGGCCTCCAACTAGGCCTGGCCGCGACGCAGTCTCACCTTCTTCAGCTGTGCTGGGATGAACTCGGGGTCTCCATCTCGAGTGTGGATGCCGATATCTTTTCCGAAGGTGTCGACAGCCTGAAAGCAATGCACCTCCGCCGCTTGATTCTGCAGCAGTTCAGGTTTGACCCCTGCCACTCTCCAAGTCCAAACTCGGTGTTTGAAATGGGCACTCTCTCGCAGCTAGCCCTCTACATCTGCGCGCTGCAGAGCAGAGATAGCCTCTCGACGGCCGAAGACAGTATCTTACTGATGGACAACCTGGTCAAGAAATACTCCTCATTTCGGAAACACCTGCCTTGCCCGGAAACTCCACGGAGGACAAGGACCGTGGTAAGTACATGCAATTTTGACACCGAATCATCAACCTGACATTGCAAAGCTGTTGACAGGAGCTACTGGCTCAGTGGGCGCACATGTGCTGTTCGAATTGCTGAACGATGACTCGGTGTCGACTGTTTACTGTCTCACGCGGAGGGCATCTCCGTTAAAGGCGGTGCGTGGCAGCCTGTTCGAAAGGGGTCTGTTGCTTTCGCCAGAACAGACAACAAAGGTTGTGGCACTAAACGGCGCACTGGACCAGCCTGACTTTTCTCTGGACCCCGTGGGGAAGGCCTTTCACCGTATGCTAGACTCTGTATCTTTAATCATCCATACTGCATGGCCAGTCAACTTTAACCTCCCCCTCGCTCAATTCGAGCCACATCTCCGGGGACTATACAACCTCATTACGTTTTCGCTTTCGGTCCGAAGACGTGAACCTGCGGTCATGTTGTTTTGCTCTTCCATCTATACGGCGCTGGGGGCCTCCTCGGCCACGATCGAAGAGCAAGCAGTCGATCTCAACAGCGCGCTGATGGGCTACGGTCAATCTAAGCTGGTGGGAGAAAGGATGGTCAGCCTTGCACGCCGGTCAGGCGCAAGAACGTACTCTCTCCGAATTGGTCACGTCTCGGGACATTCGAAGAAAGGCCTGTGGAGCGACTCCGAGGCAATTCCTTTGCTGATCCGATCGGCACTGACCCTGCGAGCCCTGCCTGAACTACATCAGAACTGTTCATGGCTTCCTGTGGACAAGTTGGCCACAGTAATGCTCGAGTTGGCTGAGTCATGCTCTGCGCCTGAGTGCGGCGTTGGGCCAAGCCGCGCGTCCGGCACCTCCGGGGTGACCTATGTTGACGACTCGATCTACAACGTGTGTAACTCGCGCGTGTTTTCTTGGTCGGAGCTGCTGTCAGAGTATTCACTTCGTTTTGGTAGTAAGGGGGTTACTTTGGCAGATAGACAGCGAAAGATGTCGTGAATTTGATGACCACGTCAATGTAGAAAGTGGATGAAAGCGCTGCGACTGCCAGAGAAAGAATAGTGTAATTTGATGTCATTAACGTGGTTCCCAGCGGGTTCGTCATCCCTGCCGATCCGTCATCCCACCTCAAATCTTCTGCCCCTACCCAACCACCGATCTTTAAACGCCTATTATGCCCCCCAAACGAAGTCAAAAAGCTCAAAAATCCATCGAGCAGGAAGGCAGGATCTCGCTAGCTATCAAGGCTATTCAGAATGGCAGAATTACCACGATCGCTGCTGCTGCTCGCTCTTTTGATGTCCCCCGTACAACTCTTGCAGATCGGATGAAAGGCATTCCTAATCTGTATGAAGCAAGGGGTACAGGCCATAAATTCACGCAACTAGAAGAGGAATCAATTCAGGATTGGTTAATCTCTATGGATCAGAGAGGCGCCGCGCTTACAATCGCGATGTTGAGAGATATGGCTAATTTACTGCTTGAGCACCGCGGAGACAATGCCCCCCAGACCGTTGGCAAAAATTGGCCAACACAATATATTAAACGACATCCTGAGCTCACTACTCGATTCTCTCGCAAATATGACTACAAACGCGCCCTAATGGAAGACCCAAATACTATTATTGAGTGGTTTAACCTTGTCGAAAAAACGATTGCTCAATATGGTATCACTTCGGATGATATCTATAACTTTGATGAATCGGGGTTTGCAATGGGAATCAGTGCGACGACGAAGGTTATTACGCAGTCATTTTACACCGGTCGGAGGGGCGTTTTACAACCTGGCAATCGTGAATGGGTGACTGTTATTGAATCAATTTGTGCCTCCGGACGGGCGCTCCCACCATACGTTATCTTTAAAGGGAAACACTTTATGGTACGATGGTTTGACGACCTTCCAAAGCATTGGGCTCTTAACGTTAGTCCGAACGGCTGGACAAGCAATGAAATTGGCGTTGATTGGCTCCAAAAACACTTTATTCCGCATACAATAAGTCAGACTAAAGGGAAACATCGTCTTTTGGTCCTCGATGGCCACGACAGTCATCTTACAGCAACATTCGATAAGATTTGTCAGGAGAACAACATTATACCAATCTGTATGCCTCCGCATGCCTCTCATCTTTTACAGCCTCTTGATGTTGGTTGTTTTGCTGTGTTAAAGCGCTCTTACGGAACGCGGGTTGCGGAATATACCCGATTAGGCATCGATTCTATCGAAAAAGATGACTTCCTTGATATCTTTCCAGCGGCTCGTGACGACTCATTCAAAGAGTTTATCGTTCAGAATGCCTTCGCAGCTACTGGTTTAGTACCATTAGACCCCGATCGAGTGTTATCAAAGCTCAACATTCGTCTTCAATCTCCGCCTCTACAAGAGCGACCAGTTTCACAAGGTTCAACATCAGGCAGTAATATCTCTACCGGCATCCCTAGGACGACTAAGCAGCTAGAAAAACGCAAATCTAGGCTCAATTCTGGTCTTAGTTCAGCTGCTGATAAGATCTCTTCCCCTACAAAACGTGATCTTCAACAGTTCTACGATATGTCGGTTAAGCTAGTTCACGAGCACATCTTAATGCGGGATGAAATCAAGCGTTTACGGGAGGGAAATAGAAAACAGACGAAAAAGAGGGAGAGATCGAAGAAGCGAATGCCTAATATAGGTAGTTTAACAGAGGTTTTGGATCCTACTACCAATGTTGGTGGTGAGGGAGGTGTTGGTGTAAGATATATATCTGATCATACACCTACTCTAGAATCCCAGGTTGAACCTACACTTCCTATTTTGCCCCCTGTACGTCGGCAAAATACATGTTCTAAATGCGGAGGAAAAGGGCATAGGTTTACTACATGCCTGCAGAAGTTTTAAATCGTCAATTTAATGGTGTTTTGGTTGTTTGAATGGCGTTTGAAAAATGTACAAAATTTGAAGATTTGATGGGGTGACGGACCGGCAGGGATGACGAACCCGCCGGGAACCACGTTAGTTAAATTATTCCCATGATTTATTTTCTTTCCTTTCCGGGCCAACCACACCATAGAGATAGACCTTTCGGGTGATGTTGATGCAGTTTCCTAGCCAGCCAGCTCACCCTGGATTTATTTACATGGTTTTGGCGTCGCACAACAGGCCAACTATAGACAAACGAAAGGCATTGTACAGCGACATCCTTATCAGCGGCGCAAGCTTGTCGGGAATTGACATGGCATGCCAGCCCCAACAGCAGCTACGTGTTGGGTGACTGTGATTTACGGCCGCGCTCGAGAATTGGGTGGAGCGTGGGCAGCCAATAATTGGGATGTCCCTTGATTCCGTCTGCATATTACTTGTTAATAAGCAGCAGATCCAGGATGCAGTGTTGATATACCTGGCGCTTTATATTCGCAGTTATGGTTCCCGAATCCAGACTTCACCAGACTGTTCCCTTCCCAGCGGAAATTTTTTTATCCTATATTCCACCTGTCGCTCGCGCTAACCATGTCACTAAACATGTGAGATCCCAGATCGAATGGAAAGGTGCCCAGTGGGTAGAAGCTCAGAGTAGATGGCATGTCTATATCCGCGATTTGAAGACAGGAGAAGAATTCATTCACGAAGCCAAAGTGTTGATTTCTGCTGTCCGGGGCTATTCAAATCCCAAGTTCCCCGTTCTACCTGGCTTGGAGCAGTTTGCAGGACCGGTTGTGCACCCCGCACAATGGAACAAGGAATACGACCTCCGAGGGGTAATGGATGTTTGTTCAGGCCCTATGAGTGGTCCAGCAGACCATTAGATTAACAGTCTTGCAGGCTCCGGCTCACAGCTAGATCCTGCTGTGATCGACCAAGTTAACAGCCTGTGCAATTTATTCGGGCAAGTGTTCCATTCGAGCGAGCTTGCGTGAGTGATTCTGACACTGTTACTGTACGTGAAAAAAGAGCCCACAACATTACCTGCCGATGCCCACGTGCCGATTTGGAAATGCACGTTTCCTGGCCACTGTTACGAAGATAATGCTAATTCGGCCCAGGCAAAGTGCGATGTAGTTGATTTGTGCTACTTGATCGGCTGTGTGCGCGCAAATGGACATCTCAAGCGGTTGCATCAGTTTGCACCACTCCCACTGTTCAGCTCGGCAGGTGCGGAGGCACGGCTGCCTGTGGGATCTCCGCCTTTCCCTTCGCACTTCTCGCACTTTGGTGCTTGCCCGGCCTCCTCCGCCTCCACCCCTTTTACCACCAAGTCAAACATCAAATCAAATGACTCTGCATCTCCAAGCCCATGTTTGATTCCCTGCTCTCTGAATAGGTAGTCCATCATAGATCCCATTCGCCGATTCACTTCATAAAGAAGCTCAGTTAAACGAACGATTTGCTCTAGCTCGCTCCTAGATTGGCTGAGCGATTCCCGTATGGCGACTAGCTCCTGTTCGGATCGCGCTTGGCGGCGCTCTGCTTGGAGAGTGCGTGTATTGAGTGCACCAATAATCCGAAGAACTTCCTGGATACTGGTCAGCGGCGCCGCGGTCAAAAATGGGTACACTTACTGAGGCATCCATGTCTGCGGGCGGGAACTGGGCGAAGAGGGAATACGGGATCATAGATTTCCTTGGATATGGGCACAGAGGACGGGGGCCTTGAAGTGATAGAACTCTGAGATTTGGGATACCAATGGCAATACTTATAAGTTGTACACTGCATCACTCCAAAACTAGCTATGCATCTCTTGTCTGACTTCTACGAAGAGTTGATGGGCAACACCATCGCTCACGCGCGGTATCAAGTGTTCATGATGGCTTTTAATGAGGATACCTGAGCGGGCCTCAGGAAGAACTAGGTGCTCTGTTATTTTGTTAGTAGATGTGTTCAACCTGGTAACCATCAATTACAATAGCTCGCAGTGTGTTGATTACAAGTTCATACGATTAGGGATTCCTCTAGTTGACGAGCAGCGCTTTCGATCCGTTGCTCTTCACGAGTCTATTCAACGCTTCCCTGTACCCGGGACACACGGAATGAGACTCACACTCTCCGAAGTTTGTTTATCAGGGAGCGCCACTTGTTATGAAACTAGAACCCTGAAGCTGCCCTTGTAATTTTGGAATATATGGGCCCGACTCTGTTCCCCTCCGATCCCTATCAACTGTCTCAAAAATTTGACATCGCTGTACCTACTAACCTCCCTATCCTTCGTCACGGGAAATACTAGCATGAGACATTCCATATTGAATCATGCTTAGGACATTGTCGAAGTTGGCGAGATGCTTTGGGCTGGAGGTAGTACATGTCATTGTCCTTCGCCGATCGCGTCACGGGGATCTACGTCTTACTCAGTCTAAATTTCCTTCGAACCATCCTACGGTGGATTCCCTGCTAACATTTGGAAGGCATATGCTAACTCTAGCTAGGATATTACCCTGAATCTTGACGAGGCAGAGCCGCTCATCCAAAGAAGACAATCAGATGGCCTGTTAGAAAAGGGCCTGCTAGAAAAGGGTAGCGAAATCGACGGTCGCTCATATCATTGCGGAGGGATGGATTGGAACAATTGTGACTGCATTTTCTGTACATCCCTGATAAGTCTCTTCGTGACATGTTTAGCCAATATCAGCAATTGGATACAGTGGGATTTGGTAAAACCGGACAAATGCTCATCTTGACCATGACATGGCCCGAGTTGGACCCATTGTGGGGCAGGTGTTTATTTCCCTTCAGCCCCGTGAGCCTTGTCTGTCTCGACCGGAAGTTGCAACCAAGGCTTGGAGAACCTAGTAACTAAAACGTGGGAACTAATGAACAGACTCCTGAGCAAACTCACCGGCATTCAGTGCTAAGATAGGAGCTTGATCAGTTGGGCTCCAATGTTGGTCATGATCCAGCAATGAAAGATTGCATGCAACCTCTTCCCACAGAGATTGGTTGGTGAGGCTCCACTAGCGCTCAGTTCACCGGCCTCAGCAAGTTCTGACCTAGATACACGCTAAGCCTGCAACAAGATTCAACCTTCCACATTTGAACAGTTGACCATCCTGTTTATCCTTGGCTTTGGAGAAACTTCACTCCCAATAGTTCCTTACAATTAAACAGATAGTGGGTTTTTTGGGTAATGAAAAAATCAGTTGACGCAACGTAAGGAAAGAAGATTATTCCTCCCGCAGTCAAGCCTGTTCATTTCGCGTATTGCAACTTTGTTCAACTCTGCCGCTGAACGGGCGTGATTACTTCTCCGACCAATGAGACACTCATGGTCTTGAGGTTCAAGTGGCTGCTTCAGGTGCAGGAAAGCAATTGCCAAGGCTGCAAGGGGAAATGACCAGCTGTCCCGCACTAGTGTCTTACTGGGAAATTAGTCGCTGGTAGATACTTAATTAAACTGGATGTCCGCATCGTAAATGGAAATACCGTGAGTTCAGGGAGCCAGTTAGTCGTTGGTGAGGAATTGTGATGACTTAATTTGACTAGGGGGCTGTATATAAATAGAAGTACCTTAACGTTAGATCCATGACCGCCGATGCTTAGGGAATCTTGTATTGCCAAGAATTCATGCATTTTTACCAATTAATGCATTGGAAATACAATTACTGCGGTCGGCTTAATTAGGTCTAGCAGGTGGAGAGGGGGTCCGAATAGCTTCCATGGAGGGTCCTTCTTATGTGGCCCTATTAGAATGACGCGCTGCTTCTCAATTTGAAGTAATTTATTGATTCTTAATAGCCTGAATAGCTGATAAGATCCTACCCTCTTGTTCTGTACGATTTCGGGAGGATCGAGTACGTGTTGGTGGCATAGTGGGTGATTGAAGAGGGAAGGTTCGACGCGTTTTACGTTGGGTGGCCATCTCGGGGGTGTGACCGGCTCGGTAGTGAATTACGTTAAATTGATGTAAAACCTTAAATTTCGGGAGGGGCTACTGTAAGTTACTTGATCCCTAAGGACAGCGCTAAACAGCGCTGATTCAGCGTCTAGACTCTGCATGTGTTTTTGTATGGTCAACCCGTAGTGCATTCGACGTGTCTGCCCTCAACGGAATACTGAGTCAGTGAGTAAGCGGCCCTGTATTTTACTTCTACTGTAACTGCTGGGAGAAATGGCGGAGAAATCAACGGCTTCAGTGGAAATGGGATGCTGTGCCTCCTATTGTCGATAGTTTTCCTTTTTCTAACTCAGAGTTATATTACCGTTCAGATCCCTATATATTATAGGAACGCGTGATGCATCAATAACTTCTATGTATTTAGACGTTCCATTTCGCGCAGAGAGGATTTTCCAGCTCTTTCATTCCGCTGACTCAGAATATCTTGTTCTTCCGAGAGCCGCTGACACAGCGGTTAAAGAGACTCATCTCATTCCCGACAGACAAGAATAGAGGAAAGAAGCGGTGCTAGCATGGACCCGAAATCACCGAACTGGCCTGACACTGAAGGCCGCTTATCCATGGTCACGAGCGGAACGGTGCGGCATCCGGGTCCGACAGGTGATCATCGGTGGCTAATGACCGGAACCCGGATATTTTACAACCCTTGGGCGACAGCAACTGCATATAAAGTGGCATAAGCTACCTCAGCGAATCTAACATACTCTTACTCTAACAATCTCATCGTTTACCCCAAGCCACCAAACTGTCCCTCAATCGCGGAAACACCTTCACCTTGGTCTAAGTTGTCTCCTTCTCTTATTCTCTTAGCATGGCTCTCAATGCAATGCCGCCGGAGGTCCTGCGCTCAAAGATCGACGTGTGAGTGTATAAACTTGACTTTCTTTCTTTCTTTTTTCACACTAAGACGGCATATCAGCCTCATTATTGGCGCAGGTCCAGCTGGTCTCATGGCAGCGTGGTGGATGGCTCGCTGCGGCATCAAAGCGCGCATCATCGACAAACGTGGTACCAAGGTGATAAATGGCCCCCGAGAATTTGTTCTCGGGCCTCATAACCTGTTGTAGTCCTGTGGAACTGTTGATTGTGATTCGGGGAGTACTGAGGAGGTTATATATACATATGAGGTCCAAGATGATCTTCAATCAACATGCTTCTTCGTGTAGACACTCCGGGAATTATTTCCGACGGCGCGGCTTTCTTCCAGATCTACATCAGCCTCATATCACAACAGCCCGCCCCTCAGTCACCGATTCCTCTGGTCCCAACCTCTCGTTCGGCTCTTAGCAATCTTTCTAGGAGCTTAATGAATTTGTTGACGGGAAATAGAGAAGTTTTGCTTGCTATGGTGACCTTAGCTCTGCTTTATGTGTATTGAGCTGTGCATATCCATTACGAGACAAAGTTATCATCAACGAGATTCAAATATTACTAGCTGAACTTATTTCTTCCCAGAGCCCGAGGAAGTAGTATAGATCGAGCCTCCCTGTCCATTGTTGTAGTAGGTGCTCCCATTGGGGTTAGAGTAGTAATAAGAGCCGTTTCTAGAAATGATGGTCAATGCATGGGATAGAAATGTCAAGTCTAGGTAGCTGGTCCATCTTACGAGTTCGAATAGCGGTAGTTGTTCGAATTCGAGACGCTGGAGCCGTAGTCGCGGGAGCAATAGTGATTACCCTGTTCCTTTGTCATTACCACACCAAATACTTCTTAATTAGTACCTAATATTGACGAGTGTTCACGGCAGATCATGAAGTACGAGGAACGAGACAGGACTTGAGGGCTTGTTGTGACATACCTGGCTGTTCATGCCAGAGCTGGTGATGTTGTATCCCTTGTTGGAAGACATGTTGGCAGAATACGGACAGAGAATAATTATCAAGGTAGCTGTCAATAGTGTAGGTAGATGGAAAAGGAGGGGGAAAGAGGACATTCCGTGACGAGGGGTAATTTGGGTGGGTCGTCGGTGCCGGGGGCAAAGTGGTTTCTCGATTTTGATTCGACGATCTGAGGAGTGGTACTCCAGAGCGGCGTACCACAACTAGACGAGTCTCATTTGACAACGCGTCTCCCAATACGTTTTGCGTGTTCAAAATCGGTTCCGCATTCCCTCCAAAATACGGAGGTTCCGCTCTTTCTTCCACTTCCTTACATATTCCCGAATCAGCTTCTTGACCGGCTCGACGACATGTTAGCATCACGAAAGGTGGGTTATTGCTTCATACCAAGTATTTTTATCGGCGCTTGCAACTAAAAATCTTATTCAGCGCGCGTCTTCACCCGTCGAGGCGGACCAAAACAATCCGACGGAGAAGGCCCATACAAGACCCAACCCAAAGAAAGCCGTCAAAAAAGATGTTGGGACTTGCTCAATGGACAAGAAGCAGATTGGAGACCGCGTCAAAGCAGCACTGGCTTTGAACAAGTACGCACTCAACCGAACAGTCATAAATGTAAGTCACAGCATCGTTTCTATCCAATCTCAGCTAACACTTGACAGCTCCAAATAGACACGGCATTCTTCCGCACCTTCTTCATTGATAATGACAAGCTCAGCAAACCATTATCAATCACCCCTACGGAGTTCGACGACACTTCCCCCGTGGTCGTCGTAGAATTCAGCCATCACCAAGCAGCCGAGTTGCTCGGGGTTAGCAAGGTGAAGGGAGGAAACAGGCTAAGTACAACGCACCTGGCGGCTATGTGTGTTGTATTTTATCCCGGCCGAGGCACAGCCAAGATCTGGCTGTCTGTGTAGCGTTTGGTCTTTTTGTCGAACTGAGGGGTGGTATTTTACCACTAAGGACAGGGTTATTCACAAGAATGTTTCGTAAAATTTCATATGTAATATAGGGACCTGTGAATTACTGTATCCGGTTAGTTTTGCCTTTCTAGGTTTAGCGCCCCAATACGCCGTCACGTAACCTCTCTTCAATGCCTTCCGACATAAAAGACCCGTCTTCGCTGCTCTTCCTCCCTTTCTCTCACTTTTTCATTTTTCTGCCTCTCTATTTTGCACTCATCGCCGCCCCCTTTCTTTACTCTGGCCCCCACCGACTACTGCACATTTGATTTCAGCCCGACGCACTGCCCCTTTCATTTTTACCGGAGATGCCGCTTGATCCGATATCCAGCTTGCAATGCCTGTGTCCTAGAATCGTAACCACTGGGATGATACAGCATCCTGTCCTTTCGTGTCGATGATCCTACTCCTTCCCTAGGGCAGTGACTGAGCACCATGCTGCGAAGATATCTAGGTCTCCCTCTGCCAGTGCGCCTTTCCGTCTCTGATTCGGCGGGCCTCCCTTCAAATCTTCAAAGTGCCAGTATACCCTCGACGCTGCATATCCCTCTCCCGCCGCCCCACCTGAGGTTGCATTACACAGCCCCGGCTTCATAGAATGGCTCTCAATCGTCTGGCCAAACGCCCAGTTGTCGTCATCGTCGGTCTCTCCGGTCCCTCTCCACCCAATCGGTGAAACTCGAAATCACAGCTCGGTCATGTGGGCCAATAGCGAAAATGCCGCGCACGCCCTGGACCTTGGTCGATACTGCATCTTGTAGTCAATGCGAGACTGCAACTGCGGGAATTTTTGCCAGTGAACCATAACTTGTTGTGGACTGTGTAACTGGGATGGTCTAGCGTCCTCGACTGCAATGGGTTGGATTGCAGGATCTGCTTGAGATTATCTACTCTTGGTAGAAGAAGATTTCCATCCTCCGGCATCCGTCGTCTATAAAAGGGACCACAGTTCCACCAATATGGCAAAACTGGAATTCGAATCGCCTTCAAATTCTCCTCTTCCCCTGTTCCTTGTTCTCTGCCACTTTCTTTGTTTTATGAGTGCCCGCAGTCATCACATCCCAAAGAGTCTTTAGCCGTCTCTTCACAATATATGTCAAGCGTGAGTTTTCCCTTGTATTTTTTTTTGGCCCCGGAGTTGCGCATGATGCCTCACCCGACTGGACGCTGATCCTCACGCTAAGCAGCCCTTTGGAGACGATCCCTTCGCCATGGCCCTCTTCTGGCGAGGCGCAGCAAGACAGACCATGGACTTTTTCGAATGAAACGCTTTGATCCAATGGGAGAAATGCCGCATACACCGTCGGCCTTGCGCGTGACTCAGTGATTTCCGTTGTGGATGGGTTGGTGGATCTCTGTATCGGCAGGCTGCGCTTTGTCTCGTGAATCTTGTCAATCCAACCTTCTCAAAACGCCCAGAAGAGACAGGGGGCGGTAGGCAGGTATAAAGGGTCGTTGGAATTCCTCAGACCGAGATCAACCATGTCTACGGTCCCACTCGGCTTGAAATGACGAAAGATGTCGAACTCGCAGTGACAACAAATATGCCAGCTGTCCGTGATATTCTGTTGGATCGTGGAAGATCCGCGCTGGCTTTCTCAGAGCCAGTGCCATCGACAGACTTCGCGAGAACAATTCTATGTCCTGCAGGGCCAGACCACCTAGACCCCATTCCTCCTGATATGCGGGGAGATGATTTACCGGGTAAGTTGGCACAATGCATGATGATGAAAGTCGGCCATCATCCTCTCATTGTCTGACTTTTTTTTATTGTAGACTCTGTTCCTGATACCAAAGAAATGGAGACTTCTCAACTCTCGTGCGTACCCTGTGTGACCGCACCCGTACCTGCACCCGAACAAGCGAACTGTGTCTCTAGCAACCTATCTGCGGTGGGTGATTCTCAACAAGAATCAGCCAAGCGGAAGTTATCTACTACGGAGCCCTCAGACAGTCTGCACCCTGGGGACTACGAAAATGATTCGGAGCCAAGGCAGATATCTGACCTAGGTGAAAACCCATGCTCCTGGGCAAACGATGCTCCGGAGCGGGCCAAAGATTCCGGCACTGTTGAAGACAAGTCAGCCCCATCTGGCCCGTCCGCTCCGCCGACCCTGCGCTCTACTCCTGAATGTTCTCGTGTTCGAACGGCACTGAGTTCCGCTATCCCGGTGCGCTACCCGCCGATAGCTGTGGTTGTACCATCACCGTCCTGGAAGCAAGGAGCCGCCAGGACAAGCAAAAGGGCCGCCGCGGCAGTATGCAAGAAGCGACTCCGCTCAGGTCGAGGCACCGGCGACCACCAAGATGGGAACACCTACTCCAACTGCAACAATTTTGAGTTTGTCCTGCTGAGGCCCCTGTAGTTGTAGTGACGGTAGCGGCACTGGAGTCGTTTCCTATGGCGACTAACGTCGCTGCAAGGTACGGCGTAATGATGAAGCGTCGATCTTAGCCACAAGAACACCGGTATCCCCCTGTTCGCAATGGTTGCACTGCAGGCATCAGCACAGTTATCGCTGGGGGAAGGAGACAGTAAGCGGTAAGATACACGACGCGTTCCGTTTGAAATATCGACCATATAAAAAGCAATTACCCACTTGACCTATCCATCTACGGGGGCAGGTTGCTCGGAAATATGATAGGTCAAGCCGTGCTGCAGAGCGTTGCACGACGAAATACGGGGGCACGCCCCCATCAGCAATTCAAGATGTCGGGAATCGGGATGAGGGGCTCGTCCCGATTGGCAGTAGGGTATAAGGCGGTATAGGATTTGGTGGGTGGCATGACATTGGATGTGGCCCCAGACCCTACTGCCGTAAAGCGGTGATCGGTATTTTATTTTTCCTCTTGCCTGGGGTCTTTTTTCTTGACCCCCTTACCTACCTAACTAACTAACTAACCTTAAGTAGTTAGGTAAGTAGTCAGCAGCAGAGTGGTCGAATTTTTCTTAATCCCTCAAAGCAAACGTTGTCACTGTATCCGACACTGGTACCCATACACAAAAGCAGACAATCATCAAGTATCACAGCTCAGTCCTAGCCTTTTCTTTTCTGATCCTTGTACACAAATAAATTTCTCCTCTTTCCAAACAATCTTGGGTTCTTTCCTCCCGGCAACTCATCATATGGTTTGTTCCTCACCTTTGCTCGATCAGCAGCTACGAGACCATGCCACAAACTCTAAGACCGCTCGACTACGGGTGCACGGATTGGCGGATCAGTAGCCAAAGAGTCGCAGATCTGTACAGTTCTGGTACCAGGCTTTGGACGAAAGAAGATCTCGAAGACATAGAACAACAATTGCGCCAATCCTATGCAATGGAGCGATTTTCAGTCCGTCGAATCGATGGAAGCATAATCCAAATTTCCAATCCCATGTTCCAAGTACAGAATCCTATCTGGTACGTGGGTATGGTCTTCTGACCCAATTTGAGCCTGAAATCTAAGTTTTCCTTAGGAAACCCCATGTCAAGTACCAAGAATATTGGCAACTTGTGAAAGCACAACCCAACGGCCCAATTGAAACTTACCTGTGCTCTTACATTGTGGATTGGAGCAATCAGACTGCACGAAACTTCCGAGAGCTTATAGCACAGCCAATGCAAGTCTTTGACGAGAAACACTTGTTATGGCAGAATAGCAAGACCTGCAAGCACTTGGCAGCCTTGGTCCAAGATATACTCGGTACAAACACTGTGAAGAAAGTTCTCTGCTTCGGGCTCGGTGATTTTTGCCGCTCCGCGCCTGAATGGCTAAAAAGGCAGCACGGCTCTTGGGATGAGAACTCTGAGGTGAAAAATGTTATGGGTTGCATGATCCAGCATTCGATGGCTCTCACTATCGCTCAACTTTGTCGTGGCAATAAAACATTGCCATTACTTGCCCAGGACCCAGATTATACAGAGGTCACGGAAGAGATCCTGACCAAGAAGGAATTCAAAATTGTTGGAACTCACGGTGCAGGAGGATTCGCGGAAATTGACGAGGAATCGATCATAATATCACCCTTTGCTGCCGCCCCAGTGAAGCAGATTATCGCCGACCTTGCTCGGCCTGTGCTCATTATTTCCACCGGCTTTGAAGTCTTCAATGGCAATGAGTAAGTTCGCTTTTATCGATCCTCGAATTTGTCTAACCATGGCACTTCACAGAAAACCATTGGCAGATGCTGAATCTCCGAGAACAAGGCAAATGTGGCTGGATTATGATGCCTATAGCCTTCCAAGCCATTCTGATGACGTTGAAATATGCTCTGCACTGAAAGGACTACATTTGTATTGTAGACGCCAGCAACCTCTGGATTCGCAAGGAGCCTGAGTTCACGTAATTTTATATCTAGGAACGGTGGATCACAAACGATCGCAAATATGAGATGAATTTCAGAACGGGAATCTTATGTATATGTATAATTCCTGCTACTTGGTCTCTCCCATCCCTTATGCGCTGCGGTGGATTTCGTAAACCGTTTCAGGAGAGCCCGCGGAGTCATTATTCAGGAGAATCCTTACGACTGGTTGTCGGTCAAGCAGCTTCAGTGACAGTTCAAAAATTGCAGTTATTCACCCTCCCGCCTCCGATCATTCAGTCCTTTTTCTTGGAGCAATTGCAGCAAGAAGGACAAGCCCCACAATCTGCATGGACCATGCTCTTCTCCTGTCCGCAGGTGCAACATTTGATCGCGTCCACGGGATGGGTTATGTCGGATTCGGAAGTCATGATGGAGGCGGGGACTATACATGTATTAGTTGGGAGACCACCGATCTGCAATAGAGGACACGTGTACTGTACTTGCAAGGACTCTGGCAATTAGGTATACGCTTGAGAGAAGCGGTTCAGAGAAGTGGTTTTTAACGATCAAGGTTTGAGAATCCAAATCCAATAGAGACCGTGCAGAGTAGGTAGTCTGTCGACCAGATATTATAGGAAACAAAGCCACGAGAGTGATTCTTGAAAAATTCAAGAGACAATCGTTACTTTCGCACTCTCTTTATACAACAAGAAAGCGGGGTAATAGACATGGCAGGTCACCTGGGCATAACATCAGGCGAGTTATTAAGTGTAGTGTTGTGAGCATCAGATTGTTTCTGACGCGTCTGTATTGCATATGGGATTACTGAGGCTGCCTCCCTGTAAACTCGAGGGTGACGGCCCCTACATTTGGCGCTAATTATGGCTCACGAGCACCAATCAATCGATATTACTGAGTGGCTTTGTTGATCATTAGGCTTCGGCGAAACCCAATCTGGGTCCAAGGCCCCCTATTCCGTGCGCTGTGGATGCGAAAAGCATGGATCAGCCCCACCGAGGGTGTTTCCTCCTTGTTCAGAGCATCTGTGAAGATGAATGGCAGCGTACATGCGGCTGAGTGCGTCGAATCTCATCAGTTGAAGAGGGGAACCTTGTCATTTACCAGGTCACTGAGGTTCTTAACCTACTGTGATCAATCACAATGCAACCCTTGGTTGACGGAGCTCTCGTGACCAACAATACTGAGAAATATTGTTTCAGAGGTAGCTCTTTCTCTGAACCATCGTAATGATACAATTCGATTAATCCGACAAACCATCAACACGGACAAGACATTTATGCACAGAACGTTAGTGAGTTAAGCGGGGAACCCTGTCAGTTGGGCTTGTGATAGATGCATTGGGCCCCAAACATGGATATGACAAACGATGCATGAGCGTAGGCGCAGCTATCAGGTCACCTTCATTGGTCCTCAAGGCCGGCGGCAACGGGGATAAACCCCGTGATCTACGCCTGTTTATGCTTTTTGAAAAGTCATCATTTTTTTGGATCAACCAAAAATTATAACACGCAAGATAGTCACTCACTTTGAGAAATTGCCATAAAAGTGAAAATTTTGGCTAGGTTTTCTGGCCTTGGATCTGAAAGCAAAATATTATAAGACACCCATCGAACAAACAGTGTAGAAGCAAAATGATTAATTCAGAATGGCAGAGATTGATTCTTCCCAAATCATCCTTTCAGTAGGAGCGTCCCTATGTGCTGTGATATCTCTTCTACTTTGGTTTATGTTGATATCCGATGGACAACGGTCCCGATTGGTCTTACTCTGTCAGAAACCCTATATATTCTCACAGGCTGTGGTGGGAGTCCTGGTCTGTGCTGGCCTGCTTGGGTCAATAGCATTGGCTACTTATCAACCTATCCTACGAAACGGTGAGTAGTGTCGAGTCCTCCTCTCCTCATTAGCTGACGAGACCTACGTACAGATCCCTCGAGGTGCTCTGACAGTTGAGCTGGGATTTTTACTTCTTCTGCCTCCGATAAACGAGGTAATTATACTCAACTTCAATGCGGATCTTGCTGACATCCACTAGTTTCTTAGCCTTGTGAACCAGAAGTCCTGGTCAATCAATATTTTTATCGTCTTTCCTATCGCCAAATCATTGCTGCTACTAACGTAAGTCTTATTCCTCAGCTTCTATCGGCCTAATCTTGACTTAATCGGACAGTTTCTTTCTTGACCACATACAGAGCAAAATACGCCATATTTTGTACGCATCGCTTCTTTTGCTCACGACAGCTGAGAAGTCTTTTTTCGTGATACATTATATTCGGCTTTGGCAAATTTGCAGTCGGTCAAACAGTTCGTACTCAACATCTCGAAGTTTGGACTTCTTCCAGAATCAAGCCTCCAATCATCAACGGGCTCTTCAAGCAGCAGCTTTAACAGCCATAATATTCTGCTTTTTTTCAGGTGTCATCACAGTCTGTGCATATCTTGAAAACTCTGGGCAATCACAGCTAGCAACAGTGAGAATGACCCGTTGTATCGTCCAGAGCCTAGACTGACATAGAAAAGACAGAACTAGCTATGCTAAGCTTGATGAGACTAGTTATTCCATATTTTCTCACAAAGAAAATTTGACATTCTTTGTATTCAGTTCTTTAGGTGAGTCCGTTGACATGAATCCCAATCCTCGTGGACTGACCTCCGGTGTCTACCCGATTAGGCCGCCACGGTCACGTGCGAGTCGTCCCTCCATTAAATTTGATCTAGCGGGGTTTTTGGTCGAGTTACACTCCCGCAATATTTCACCAAACCTCGCTTCGAGAACTCATCCTACGGACTCGAATATCCTGTCGTCTTGGTCTACATCGAATTCTGAATCAGAAAGGAAAGCTATCTGAAATGGCCGAGGAAGTTGGAATCGCTGCGGTGGAGGGCCACAGATATGAAATAAAAGGTGGCGCTCTTTTCCGGGAGGCCAACTACGAGAGAAAATTGACAGGAAAGGGAGAATCGATAATCATTTTTGATCCGAAAGCAGATCCTCGGTCTCCTGCCGTTTGGGAAAATGGACCCGACCCTTCTGTGGAAGAAACTGCAACTGTGCCTGCCGGATGTCAAGTCAGCGTGATCGCAGCTCCTGTGATCGGAGCAACTGTGACTTTTAAACGCGAATAATTGCAACTTCTGCCTCGTATATCAAATCAAAGCCAGCACGGCGGCCGACCACTAAGGTGATCGAAATATCTTGACTTCGGTCTTTCGGGACGAAAAAGTTAAGGCAATCTGTCGTATCGGCATCGCTACTCCCCAGTCTCTCGGCTACGATTCGTCTTTCCCATTTCCATTGCTCGCTACTCTCTATCGCCCACGAAAGACGCTTGATCAAATTTGGCAGCTTGCTGGGTGGCATGGACGACATTTTGTAGTCGATTTCTGTTATAATTTTAGCATCATTCTCCTGTGCATGACATGGCGTTGTTTATAACTTACCTTTGCTTCTTCGTTCCATCATCTGTTTATCATCACTCTCTGTGGCATGACGTTTTCTTTCCGTTGGTAAACTTTGTTCTGTACGTATCCGTTTGTATCGCGCCATATTCTCTTGTTCTTCCACGCTGATTGATTGATCTATAATTTTGACAAATTCTTGGAACTGTTCGCAAGGTTTTAAGGGTTCCTCGCCCTTCAAGCAATGTAGGCTTTCAGCGACCCTAGAAGGTATTTGATCAAAGATTGCTTTCAAATCTCCAATGAGAAAATCGAATGTACTATCTGCCATGACTGTTGGGTGTATCCACGCCGATGGCTGAAGTGTCATTGCCCACCTCAGAATCAAGTGGGGAGACTCGGCGCGCAGTTTTTCACATCGAGTTCGAGACTTGGCTTTCCTGATTCTCACTTTGTCTGTATCCAATGCAGATTCATCTGGTCCTCGAAAGATAAGCACTAGATTTTTTCTAAACAATGCTGGATCGAATTGGCCGGCGACTTGGAAAGATCGGATTCGGTTTGCAAGGTTTCGCTCTTTAACTGTCGGAGTTGCTTTCTTCAACAGATGTTCCACATGAGACTCGATAGTAGCCAAAGCTGGTTTAAGTCGATCCCTCAGTTTCTGAATCTCGTCCAACTGGTCGCGGTTTGGGCGGATGTTAGAGCTCAATTTGGGACCAAAAGACTCCATGTGGTTAAGTAAATTTGAAAATTGTGAGAGAACTGCGCCTGCGGACATAGTGTCTTAGTTTCATAAAAGTCCGACGAATGTCTGACAGTTAATGAATTAGACAGCGGGTGAGCTTGGCTTTATCGGGCTTGAGAACTATGTCACATGAAAAACCCCCGCTTTGACGTGTGACGTGGCCAGTCTAGCGCAAACTCTCTGTGGCCCCACAAAATAATCTAAAAGTCTCGATAATTATTGACTTACCGATTTTCATGTTGTCAGGTCCAAGTTCGATACAACATAAAGGTTTATATCAGGGAGGGGGATGAGAAAGACTCTCTATTCGTCTATGTCCACAACTTGGCTAGCTGGTACTTTGGACGAGACAATCAAAGAGCTGGAATTGGTGATGATAATCCGAAAAGGAGAGCTGGCGAAAATATAAATGAGAGCAATATCTCCGGTTCATGCAATGCTTTGTTCGTACTCACATCAGGGGTTGACCTTGCGAATTCAATCTTTCTTCATCTCATAAACAATTCCATCGGCCAGATCAAACGACATGGCTCCTGCTCATAGTGACCCGGACATGCCTTCCTCCAAGCACAGCATGGCATTGAAGAGAATTTCCCCCTCTCACCAAGGCCTGACGCCCCCAGACAGCCCCACGAAGGGGTCGGCTTCAGTTCAAGCTACCGTGAAGGATCTGAAGCATCTCTTTGGAGTGTTTCTTGAAAAGGTGCTCGATCTTACCAACCAAGTACCTCCAAACACTCCTGTCTCTCGGGATCAGTCCCCACCAGGCACCGACGTGGTTCGGCAGGTGCTGGAATGTGCTTCAGCTGAACTTTCTATGGCAAATAAGCCAGATCAGTCTTCTTCTGCGAGCAATGAACAGGGGAACGTTCCTGGGCCAGCTCGATTTGATCTCAAACATCCCATCTGTAAAACACCGGATGATGCCAAATCGTTCGAAAAATGGGCCTCGACACCCCAATTCAAGACGGTCGTGGAAACGTATGAGCCACAAGCCAATTCCCTTTTCTAATTCCTTTAGAAAATGGCTGACACGGATTTAGCTGGGACAAAGAAACATGTAAATACAAGATCGCCGAACCGGTGGAGACCAGCAGCGGTCCTGATGACTATGCTGAATATGCATTCGTTGTCCGTGAACGTGTTGGTACGTGACACCTTTGCATGCCGGACCGAAAACCTACTAATAGTATGATCAGACCGGACGTCCAAGGAGGTAGTGCCATTCATAGACATCAAGTCGGAAGGCTTACGCGACATCCTGCGAGACGTGCTGCACGACATCAAGGCCGTTAGCCTGATGGAGGACAAGCCATCGGTAATTGAGACAGTATTATCATGAAGGAGCACGCTGACGTGGATTTAGATCGAGCAAAATTTCCTTTTCCATTTCCTCCCAGAGCTCGACAGATGTGCGGAGAACATGGATAGCAGTTCAGACCATGAGTCGGCACATGCGGAGCATCTCCTCTTGCTCATCGACCACCTCAAGCATGCACATACTTCTACTTTGCAGCGTCTCGAACCAATGTTGCAGCACGGTCATATTACATATGACCTTCTTTGGGCGCTTTTCAAGCCTGGTTGCCATGTTTATACCACATGCATTGGCACAAAAGAGCCGCGATGTGTCGTATTCGACGCGGGCGAAGAGATGACACAAAATGACGAGATGTGGTTGAATCTCGAGTGCCGATTCCTTGATTATGACGGAGTCAAGTTCGGCGAGGCCGGAATCTTTCTGCGTGTTGCAAAGTTTCGGGGGTCAAAGCCGATCGAGACCCTTGAGGCCTTCCCTCTCCACCACCATCCAAATCACGGGCAAGTCCGGAAAGACTTGATCGAGAGGGGTCAAAGGTTTCGGGATTTGGCCGGCTCACACGTTCGGCACTGTAAAGGCAGCGCATTCTTTATGAACAAGGGGAAGGCTATCAAAGTCAACATCAACAGTCGAGTGGCAGTGGACGCCGCATTTTTCCATGAAATGCAGCCAAACTACTCCCGACCGTCACTCCGCGACATTGGGGTCAAGGATAAGGATGGAATTGCAGTATTCGACATTGGTGCAATGCTCATGGAGGGCCGTGAGCGAGAGAAGGAGAAAATGCGAGGAGACGGTGTGGATGCACAAAAGCTGAGCGAGGCCGATTTACTGGTCGCCTGCCCAACAGTTTGCTGTTTCAGCTTCAAGGATAAAATGTTCTGTATGTGACACGACTGACAATGGTTTGGTTTCCGGCTAATGTGATTCCAGTGGAGTGCGCAGTTAGTGCTCTTAGGGACGTGGTTTGGTCACCCGAGTCGTTCGACTGCCTGAAGATCCCTTCAGAGACCAAGACCATCATCTTGTCATTGGCGAAAACCCGCCTAGGGATGATACCGACGGTACCGTTCGACGACGTAATTGATGGAAAGGGCCAAGGATTCAACATTCTTTTGAAGTATGTTGGCAAAGCGTCTATGAATCAAGACTTCCCAACCTAACTTGTGCTAGTGGCCCACCGGGAGTCGGAAAGACTTTCACGGTTGAGGCAACCTCGGAGTATTTCAAGCTCCCCGTCTATTCTGTATGAACCATCCAACTCGGCTGATTTTGGCGTCACTGATTTTTCCAGATATCTGCAGGCGAACTTGTTGTCAACCACGGGGATTCCAATGCGCTTGAGCAACAACTTGAAACAGTATTCAAGATCGCCAAACACTTTAATGCCGTGCTTCTCTTGGATGAGGCAGACGCGTTCATGGAGCAGCGTACATCTTACCACGATACCCACAATCGCCTTGTGACCATTTTCCTCCGAAAGCTGGAATATTATCAAGGAATTCTTTTCTTGACTTCCAATCGGGGTATCCAGTTTGATGACGCAATTCTCAGCCGGATCCATTTGATCATTGAGTATGAGAACTTAACGAGAGAGTTTCGCAGAGATCTCTGGTCAACTTTTCTGTCCAAGGCATGTACGATGCAAGGACCTGCCATTGTTGAGGAGCACGAACTTCGACGATTGGAGTCTTTAGCTCTGAATGGACGAGAGGTGGGTGTCCGAGTGGCACTGAACATCACACTTGCTGACCAATCATGAACCAGATCAAAAACGTCGCAGCAATTGCACACGCTCTCGCTGAGGCTGACGTCAACCAGGTGAACTACGAATACTTGAAGTTAGCCGCCAAATCAAATGAGAAATTTTCAAAGGAGTTTGGCAGAGAGAGGCCTGCTGATGGAATGTATGTCTAATAGCATACCTGGGAAAGTCATGTGGATAATTTCGTTCCTCGAGGTTGTCGAGCGGTTGGGCGCTTATCGCAAATTTTCGGTTAATACACGACAGTCCATAATATCGGTCCTGAAGCTTCATAGTTGAATCAAGGTTTCCATGTGATTCATAGCATCACACAAAAGTCAAGTCCGAGAGCCAGAATTGGATGATCAATTCGTGATTGTCAACGCATCTAGAATCATATATCATCAGAGGCGATGTATGTGCATTGGAAAAGCGGGCATCAAGAATAATAATAGATAGATAATAATAGATAGAAATCCTGACTGATTCATGCGGATGCGGGCCGGAAATGCTTCATGCTTCATTATCATGCATAATTGTGTTGCTAATCCAATAAAATAAGCACACTGCCTCACGTCACATGAACACGTTTTGGATCTCCTATCTCTGGTTGACATAATCGTCGTTTTACGGCTCGTGGCCGCTGCAAAGTCGGTCGACTTTTCAATGTGGAGCGGTGAAAGTCGATGATCAACGCCCGCCCAAGCTCTTCGTTCCAAAGAACATTGTCACGTCGCAAATCTTTGTGAATGATTCCCAAGGCTTTGATTTCTTTGTTTGATCTGCGAATCTCCCGGTGGAGCGACGGTGTCAGCTCCATCGATGCTGTACTTTCGCCTCCCCAGCCCATGACGAGCATGTGACGAATCTCTCCAGCCCCATGAAGAAAATAAATTTTCGCCAAGTCGATCGTACCCAGGAAAACAGGCACAGCAGACCCTTGGGCCTTCCGCAGAATCTGATATACCTGCGCTTCGCGAGAGACTTCTTTCCACAGTCCCGAAGTGGTTCCTTTTCCGACGACAGTATAACCGTATATAGTACAGGCCAGTTTGAACGGCGCACCGTACGCCCCGCAACCTCCAAGGGGTGTGCATCTGTCAATGTTTTCGTCCAGTTGTGCCTTTAGTAAACGCACCAAATCTTCTGGGGTAATGGGATGATGAAGGTCGTCCTTGCTTCGACGATGGAGCATCACATTTGGACAACAGTCATCTAGAACACCGCCAGTCTGCAATCCGACTAAACATCGCTGGGAGCAAAATTGCGCATCGCGATATCGGGCCTGGGTGCCTTGATTATTTCCCGGGTCCTGTTGACGACCTGCTCGTTGGGCAGATGGGGAGGATGTAACTTGGCTAAAGCCCCGTTTCCGGCCTGTTGCTTGGTTTGAATCGGAGCCTGATGAGTCTGGCGACTGCGAGCGATGCTGTACACCCGACGGTGCACAGCTGGCCTGAGACCTTGTAGACACTCGGCGACCTGCTGCCGTTGGAGAATCCGGCGGAGATGACGGTGGTTCGTAAGATGAACTGGATTCCGGACTCGTGTACTCCATTGCTGTACTATCGGAGTGAGGAAGAGTCTGTTGCAGTTCTGCTTTGGGAATCTGAGAACGAGTGTGGTCGAAACTGGTCGTCCAAAGAGGCAGCTCTGATCGTGTGGAATTTCGCCATTCCTGGCCACGCGTAGGTGAGCGAAAGGCCATCAAGCACAGACATAGTGTTCTTGCAACAGAAGTCTTCAGTAGCTGAGAATAATATTCATCTTCTGGGTTGACTTCGCTGTTGGGATCACAGAAAAAGTAATAAAGCGTGCTAGGTGTATCACGTGGAACATGGAGTAGGACACGGGCAATCCCATTAGTCACATAGGAATACTCGAGTCCCTCCTGAATCATCACGTGATATTCCTGGACAAGAGTGGAGCAGACAAGTCGCTCTGCATTGTACCTCAACTTCGCTTCCTGGTTTGTCGGTATTTTGTTTGATTTGA